ATACACATGTGAAATATGAAAGTCATAGTTTCACTAAATCAAAAGTTATGGGCAATGTTCAAGTTTTTGTGACGGACGGAGAGTCTGACGGAGAGACAGACATACGAATGAGATTGAATGTCCCCTCGCTTTCGAAAAACCATCTTCGCTAGGCAAGGGTTTTCGGTCCACTCCGCTCCCCATAAGGGGACAAAAATATGAGGGCTTGTGCAAGCCCCACCCCTTTTCTGGCGCTTTCTACGGACCAGGCTTCACGCAGATAATGCATATAACAAAGAACCCTTTTGTTATCTGGAATTCATAATAATACCCAGCAACAGCTGTAGCTATTTTTAATTTACCAGAACACGTGTTTGAATCTTTAATTTATAATCTTACGTGAGACGTACTGAGTGTATCCTTAATGTCTACTGTAAATACACAGTTCGAATTAAAGGCTCACATAAAAGAAGAAAAGCAATGTCTTTGCCCTAGTTTCTATCACATATTTGCAACATCTTATCTACATGTACGTGTATACTCTTTCCTTAATATTAATATGGCCACTCTTTACATTCTGAATTCTGATTCAGATATTAAATTGTCTCCCACTGGCTTTTAAAACGGGTATTGTTACCAGTATTTCGATTGGTTAGTTTCGCTGAATCTTGAATTCTGAATCTCGTATTTCGAATCTCGAATGAGCCTTCTGGGCTTTCGTACATGAATATGCTTCCACATTAGTTTCATCTTTTCTGGCCCTGTGATTCTTGAGGAGATTTTCAAAAGATGCCATGAACTTTTCACTAACTCACAATTATCTCCGCTTGGAGGAGGGCGAGGTCCTTTATTTGAACAAACTTAAATTCCCTTCACCCAAGGATACTTTGTGGCAAGTTTGGTTGAAATTGGCCCAGTGGTTCTCGAGGAGAAGATGAAAATGTGAAAATTTTACAACGACGACGACAACAACGCCAACGACGACAGACAAGGGACAAATTTTGACCAGAAAAGATCACTTGAGCCTTAGGCTCAGGTGAGCTAAAATTATGCCTTGGTATATATTGAAAGAAATAATGAGGATGAGGGGATAATAGGCTGTATATGCTTGTTGTGTAGTTCCTTGTGAGCTAGTCCACCCTTGAAGGTCTTTGTTAATCGGTCTGTGAATTAGATGTATGTCCCCCTAATATCCTCACCAAGAAAAAAACTGGTCACATTAGAGATAATGATGTTCATCATGGCCCCTTAAATATGAAGAACTTGCAACTGAAAAAAACAATGTTCTGTATGGTTTCTGCATTTTTCATCCTGAAAATTCCTTTCTCCCTGATTATAGCCTCATCTTCTGAAAGAATTGGATCTGTATGTTTTCTTATTTCCCCCAACTCCTCTACTAAATGCGTCCTTCATTTTCCTCCAATATTTTACGGAACCCTGCAAATCTTGGATCCGCCGCATCAAGAAAGTTCTTGTCAAAAATTCATGGACCCTTAACTACCTTAAAATTCCACAATGTTTTTGCAGGGTATTCATTGCCATTTTTACTACGTTCTCTATTATAAACCTTCCTTAATAAAAAAAAAAATCAGCTGCACTGCATCTATAGTTTCGATTTCTGGTATTTATAATAATTCTTGTCCTTGACACTGTGCATTTCGTTCACACCATTAGCTTTTAAAAACAATAAATGACCAACGTGTATTTTTTCTCGTGTTGTGATTATGACTCTCTATCAACGCTTGAATTTCCTCTTCTTCATCTTCAAAGTTTGTTTCCACATTCCCCGACATTCTGTCATGTTGTAAATTTTGAATTTACCAGGTGGCAGTAAATACAAAATTTTGTCATGTCGTATATTTTGTATTTACTGCCACCCCGGTACATTCAAAATTTACAACATGACAATTCTCCGTCTCAAGTTTAATTTCTCCAAAATGATAGTTCATTTTAATTTCTTCGCGGATCTGAGATGAAATTAAGTCCTCGTCACTCTATAAAAAAACAAGACCTTAATCTCGTAAATCGTCCGTGTTCACAGTTGAAAAACTGGAACCCGAGATCCCTTCCGTTGAAACACACGCAAAAAGTGCGCATTAGAAAAATACTGTCGGGAAGGGGATAATATATGAACGTAGTCACCGGACAAAAACTAGATTTTATTTGTCTTATTAAAATCACGCACCGAAAACCGGTCACAATTAAATTAATAATTGATTTTTTGTTTGCCATGATACAAGAAAAGTTATTGATCCTGATTTATTTAGACAAAGGGGCGTTGACTCGAGCTTCGCACTCGTCACCATCCTTCGTCCAAATAAATTAGGATACACCGTATTACAAATCATAATGTATGCCGATTTTTAAAATTGCTCACCAAACGTAAAATCTTGATAGAAAAATCATACCATTTTATGGTAGTAGATATGATTGCTTTGTCCCCTTGACCTTAAAGGCTATTGTCCCCAGCTAAAACGGGGAGGGGGGGGGGTGTAATCGATATCAAATCTCGAGAATTAAGGTATTCAATGTATAACGACCATATTTTGTACCAAATAAAGGAATGATCCGATATATTTAATAACGGAAGCATTTTGAAGATATTATCATATAAAAATGCTCCACCAGAGGAATTTACAAAATTTTGATTATTGTCTAATTAATTACACCTTGAATTTTACATTGAAGTCTATGGGCAGCGCATGTTTTTATCAAATATTGTGAAAAGTAATTTGAATTTCAAACAAATCTCTTGGTGAAAATATGCATAGACTTCCTCTTTATTTAACTATGAAATAAAATAAATTCATTAAATGAAATTTTGAGAAATCAAAAATTGTCTTCTTTTCATCAAGGGCAGATAACTCTTCAAAAACTTTAAATGTGACTGTCTCCTTACATGTTATCAGTCTTGTGAATTTGGTTTATTTCACATTTATCGTTATTTAGCAATGCATTTTTAACTAGTTTAAAATTATTAAAATCGCTCAAAATCCCTTCATTATACATTGAATACCTTAAGCCTTTGAACTTTTGGAATAACATTTTATATAAACTCTCTATGTTGTAAGAAAGACCCTAAAGTCAAAGGTGAAGGTCGTATTTTCATGCATTGTTTGTGAGTATAAATCTATCATAGGGCGGTGTCTCTTTTGTGTTTTGCTAATAAAATTTTTACCAAACTACCGCGGGGCCCGCCAGCCTTTCTTAAAGTGCCCCCTTCGACCTTCCTCCCACCCCAAATCTAAGTACGGCATGCTACTTGCTGACAGGTTGATGTTACAGGGATATCATCAACAAAGTCCACAGTTTGCATTTCGTAAATTTAATGGTCGTTACAATGTCTTGTTTGCAAATGTGCCTATCATTGAATCGTATTATGAATGACTTGTTTTTCACTGAATTGTCTAAGGAAAGTTCCGTCTTCCTGATCAATACAAAGGATCACGGTGGATGTGAGCGGTAAACACAGGATGCCTACTCCTATAGGCACCTGATCCTATACCTGAATTTTCCTGAGGTCCGTGTTTTATGCCCTTTTCAAGGATATGTATGTTATTGATAGATCATTTGAGATCGAGCACTGTTCGTTATCTTCACTCTTTACATGGAGACGCCACCATTGGTCGGTGTTACCTGGCACATGGGACTTTTTGTAGTAAGGGATCTTTCTCGAGCCAACACCTAGTGCAACACGGTACCTCGGTTTATACGGTCTCACCCGAAGGACCGGTTTCCACGTCCCACATTGGACTCGAATCCACGACGTAAGGGTCAACATTATCTCCTCACTTCGCCACTCGAGCAGGCTTTCTATTCACTGCGCCCTGCGGCATTTAGGCTACTTCAATGAGAAGATGAGAAAGTCCCTCTCGAGAATTTTTGCCTCATATGGAGACGCCAGCACTTGCCGATCGAGAGCTGCAAATTTTGTCATCTTCTTGGCACTCAAAGCCATTGAGCAGGTAGGGATCTTTTTCGTGCCAGCACCTACTGCGACACGGGACCTCGGTTTATAAGGTCTCATCCGAAGTTCGGGGCTCCACGTCCCACAGTGGGATTCGGACCCGCGACGTAAGGATCAACTCCTTACTTCGTGACACTATTGAAATTGAAAATCAACACAAGATTCATTTGTGTACAATGCGCAATAGGTGGTTTTTCGTTCTTATCAGTGGAATTTTTGGTCATAAGAGTAAAGGTATACCTTAAGTCCTAGATATTATTTGTGACCTAAGGATATTTCTAGCAGTGTACACACCTACTGATATAGTTAGGACATGGGTGAATACACCTTGAAGGTTTATAAGTTATATAATTATCTTATTGAATATGTACATTTAAGTGAAATAGACGTATAATATAGCACTAACTGTAAATGTGCTTAAAATATACAAAGAAAAATTAAGAAAATATGCATAAAATATATAGAAATAACGAACAGTTTTCACGCAAAAAAACATTTGACATTACAAATTTTGGAGCAGAGCAGACATGGGCCTCCAAACATTTAGAGGTTGGATGAGGTGACACGGAGGGGTGAACGTCCCCTGAGGACCGGTCACATCCGCCGTGTGCTCATTTTCATGATCGTGAATAAACGGAAAATTCTGTCGAGATAATTCAGTAAGTAAACTAGAGTACTGTGAGCAATGAGCTCACTAAATGATAACCCCGCCTCCCATATGAATATAATGGGAGTGTCCATGTTTTGTTGTGGGAAACCCAAAATATGTGTCAGATCAAAATGAAAAATAGGAGGTGCACAATGGCAATATGTAATAAAGATTCTGCGAAAGTTTCATTAAATCTCATTCAGTGGAATAAGAGGAGTTGCGGATAAGAGATGGGTGCCACAAAGCGTAACAGACAGACAGACATACCGATTACTATATACCGTCCTGCTTTTCAAGCGGGGGTATAATAATGACCCATCAATTAGTATGAAAATCGTCTATCAGCATTCGACTTATTGTATTTGTTTACAAGGTATATTCCAGTTGTAACAGAATGATACTTACATTATCTCTGTAGCACTTGGACACATATATATCCTTGTCGATCACCTAGTTTTTGCCGGGGACAATCTCAGAGTAGGAAATCACACCGATGTTAGCATGATTTGATGAAATACTCCTCGACCGCGTGGCGCAATTGTTAGAGCATTTCCTCTAGAGTGGAGGGGTAACGAGTTTAATGCATAAACATGACATCGAGGATAGCATACACATTATTTAGGCCTTTGTCTCTGGTACAGGTGGTTCACGTAGAGCTATCACAGTAACCTGTATACGTCAAGCTCACAACAAATTTGATCTTGGCAGAAACTTAGTTCTATTTTCTCTTTTCATGTAAGATCTACTAGTATATGCCATTTCCAGTCTCTTTCCTTTAATCCTTGCTTATATAACGTACTTAATTTGACAACTGAAAATACGTAGGCCTATTATCTGCAAGCTGGAGAAAGGCTAAATAATTGATAATAGATATGGAAATGGGGGTGTTACTCATAAACCACGTCCAGGTATTATTGGGGCATCTTTAAAATTAGCATGACCCTTGGATCACTCTCATCTTGAACTCAAGATGCGCGTGACCGCATTTTGAAAGAAAATCTAAAGCGATTCAAAGCGCAAATTGAAAAGAAATAAAACATACTTCCTTATGTTGCAGTTATGAATCTTACTGCGCGAAGTGGACACCGGTTTTTCAGGTGAGATCGTATAAACCGGAGTCCTGGCTCGCAGCTTGTGCTGGCACGAAAAAGTTCCCTCACTACTCAGTGGCCCAGAATGTCTTCAATTATGTACTTGTTACCGTTTAAACTTGCAGCCATACACCTGCAACTGGTTCCGTCTCAAAATGAGAGAAAGAGTTTTGTATTTATTACTGAGAATGCATGATGTCACTAACGTTACCAACTTCATGTCAAGTGAAATTATTGTGTCCATACTTAAATTAAATTAAATTAAAGGACTAGCAACGACACGCAGCAGCTTTAATATATTAATAATATACATATTATTAAGATACACAATATAAATATAAGTTGGATTCATTCATTCAAATTTAAACCGTGTTCTCAGCTCTACGTGTCGTCCTAAACTGGCTTTAACTCACTATATCTTGAAAAACCGGTTCTATAGAACCGCATGACTGAACATACCTGAACAGGTATTCGAATTGAAAACTTTAAATATCCGGAATAATCCACTCATTATTATTACCAAGTAGAAATTGATTTCTGTCTAATTCGTTCCTCAAACGAAAGAAATCACATTTCTCCTTTAAAACCCATTCATTCCTGATACCAAATCAGTAATAAGATAAATAACATAACACATTAAATGGACTAGCAACGACACGCAGCAGCTATAAAAACAAAGAACGGGAAAATAAACTGAAAAATGAATATTAAATGAATCCAACTATGAAAATTTTATTTATACATACAAAAATATAATAATAATTATTTATAATATTAATAACAAACACAAAATCATTATAGTCCAAGATTTTTAGAAACACTTAGGCGCTCTGTGAGTGGATCCTTCACATACCCGTCTTTCGCCGATTCCGACCGCCATCGTCCATGTCTCTTAAAAAGCCTATCCGGAATCCCACGAATGACGGAAGCCGTAGCTCCACCAGATCGCAAACTGTGTAATCCATACGCTTTAATGTCATCAACAATGCCAGTGAACGCTTCAAGAAAAATCTCCCGAACTCTTGTATACGAAAGAGGTTTACCACGATCTCTAATCTTATAACCACTGTCACATTTAGAAACAGCAACAAATACATAATCCTGTGAATCATCTGGAATGCCTGCTAATTTGAGATATAATTCAAAATTACTGACTGGACACAAATCCGAACACACTTTCGCTATAACAACTCTAGTTCCGTCTCTGTATACATCCGTTTTGCTGGACTCAATGAAAATTTCCACATGATCACTAAAAAATGACACATCCGATCTTTTAATATTGATGAGCTCTTTACTACGTAAAAATCCTGAGAATGAAAGTAAACACATACAAATGGTTCGCTGATTATACAAATTACTGCAATCGAACAATTTTACATACATTTTCCTCAGCATATCGACTGTTATGGGTTCTTTCTTTGATACCGGCTTGGATAAAGAACGTTTAGATCCCTCTAAGATGTTAATCACAAATCGATTATCAGTTGGGGACGGACACCCGGCAATTTCATGTGCCCATTTGATTGCGTAAAAAGCCTCAATAACAGGAGCAGGAGAATTGGATTGTTGTGTTAAACACGCTAAATAAATTGAAATTTGCAAAACTGATGAAGGAAAAAATTCACTTTCTTGAATTCCTTGTGAAATGGCCCATTTCTTGTACCTGAGGAAACTATATATATATATATATATATATATATATATATATATATATTCTATATTTTGTATATATATATATATTTTCCAAATATCTGAAAAAACAAGTTTATTGAACAACCCCAATAAATATTTTTGCTTCAGTTCTTTAAATACTATCTACTTTTTACGTCCTCTTTTTTCTACAAATTTTTGACATTTTCAATCTAAACTTTATATCAGTATTTATCATTATACTAATATGAACCCAAAATGGGAATTCAATTACCAAAAAGGTATTATTCATAATATAATCAAACAAAATCATATTTAGATAAACTGAAATCATGTCAAAACGACATCAGTATCAATTTCCAAAAATTGATAACAAAATCAAAGCCAAATGGCTTGCGCACACAAAGTGCAAAAGATCAAATGATCGATCAACTTCAAATTTAATTCAAAATATTAAATCCAAAAACTTTGCGCATAAAATACGCAATTAAGTAAAAGCAATTTAAATGAAATAAATGCGTACAAACTCACAAAAATTTTAAATTTAAAATTGATTCCAACTTTATGCTAAATAGCCAAGTGGACCATGCAAATATTTGCAATCTAAATACACATAAACTGCGTGAAAAATTTCATTAATTGAAAATCAATCTCTAAAATCCAACAAAATTGCAAGCATTCTAAATTTCAAATCTTCTTGGCCAAACATGCCAGACTTCAACTTCCCAGAAGTGTAAAACTCTTTCTCAACAGGAAGGTCTCTCCAATCTACAATATATGCTTTGAAAACATCTGAAATTAAAATAGGCCAAAATGCCGACGATTCCCAAAAAGGAGCTATCAACGTACCACATCCCCTGCATTTTAATAAGTAATCTAACACTCTAGGTATTAAATATATAGGAGGAACTATCCAAGCATTCCAACCTGCCCAGTTTAGCGTAAAGGCATCCACTGCAAAAGAAAATGGATTCCAATATCTGGAACAAAATTTTTCAACTTTTGCATTATAATCAGAGGCAAACAAATCTATGTCGTAAGGACCCCACTCTCGAGAAATGTCTTCAAATAAAACTTGACTTATTCCCCAATCATCAAAATCTACAATACGACTTAAATAATCTGCTTGATCATTCAACTCTCGGGGAATCCATTCTATTTCTAACTGAATCTTATGTATTAAACATAATTCAAAAATCTTAATTGCAATTTTCTGTAGCTCTTTTTTCATACTCCCCTTTCTTATAATAGTTACAACATTAGTATTGTCTGTAAACCATTTAACATTCTCTCCCTCTAAAAAGGATATCAATGAAAACAAAACTCTCTCTACAGCTACTAATTCTCTCCATGTGGAACTATTATTCCTCTCACTTTCTTCCCATAAACCATGGGAAACAGCGTTTCCTGTCTGCACACAATATCCACCATAGCCCGTCTCACTGGCGTCAGTATATACTATGCGGCTAGAACCTGAAATATACTTCATTTCTCTGTCATTGATTTTTTCTAATGTATTCTTCCAAAATAAAATTTGATTTAAACTCTCTTCAGACAAATATATCATACTGTTCCAAAATGTAGCAGATAAAATGTCAATACTAAGAGACCTTGTCATAAGCTGGGAAATATTACCAATAACGACAGACATTGAAATTATCTGACCAACAAGACTAGCTATACGTCTTACCTTTACTGGTAAATTTCTACTCAAAAAGTATTCAATTTTTAGAATAGTATCTGAAACTTTTTCTAATCTACGTGTAGGGACGTGAATAGTGCCCTGTTCACAATTCAGACATATTCCTAAAAATTCTATAATTTGACAAGGTACCCACATAGATTTTTCCGCCTTAGGTACAAACCCTGATGAAACGATATCTGCATGAACTTGTCTGGACATTTCACAAGCTTTTTCATACTCACAATGACAGCCAAACCCATCATCCAAATACATCAAAATGGTCTTTCCTTCACTGCGCCATTTCCTGATCAATGACCTAGTAAGCTTAGTAAAGATATATGGTGCAGAGGTAAGACCAAAAGGTAAAACATTGAACTGAAAATAACGAGTAATGCCATCAAAATTCCAAGAAAATCCTAAAAATTTTCTATGATCTGGAAAAATATCTATATGATGATATGCACTAGTGATATCAAACTTAAAGCACCAGCTATTTTTATTTACATATAACAAAGCTGTTCTTAAATCATCATATTTGACTGATTGTTTCCAAACATGTTTATTAACTTCTCTCAAATCTAAAATAAGTCTTCTTTTACCACCTGAATTCACTGAAACTGAAAGAGGATTAGTAACGAAAGGTACTTCATGCTCCTCTGAAATCAAACCATTATCTAGAAGGTCTTCAATTGCACCTCGTACAAATTCGTCCTCCTGTAAAGCAGACTTATTGTTCTTAGAAAATCTAGCCTGTGGTAAAGAATAAAATGGTATTTTGTAACCAAATTCAATGGTATCAAGAATAAATTTGCATGTATCAATATTTTTCCAAAATAGGATATGATCCTTTAATCGACCTCTAACACAAACTTTGCCATTCTCTTTGTATTCATAACATTCACTAAAATGTGAACTATCAAAATAGATATTTTCAGTTAAATACTTATCTTCCACAAGATCAAATTCTCTTTCCGTATTACTTGCTCTGTTTAAGCTCAGGGCAATCTTTCCTTTGGTGGTTTGCTTTTCCACAATGGAAACATCCAAAGGGGAACCTTGGTCCCGGAGCTCCGGGGAATGGGAATCCGAACTGGAAGGGCGCTGATCCACGAAATGGCTGCCTGGGGAAAGGAAAACTGAAGGGAGCATAGCTCCTAGCATTAGAAGAGTTATTAGCTTTGGTTTTTTGCTTTTCTTTCTGTTTTTCTTTTTCCTTTCGCTCACGCAAGGCTTTGTTTTCAGCTTTGTTAATACGCTTTTCATTGTCAGAATCATCAGCCAGAGGATTAGAAATGTAATTTTTTACTGTGCTCCAGACACCAGGAGATGTATCGGCCATTTTAACCAGCTTATTACGTTTTAGAGAAATCTCATTGGCTTCAATTACAAGTTCTTTGCAATACTCATACTTTGCATTATTCAATGCCCATAAAGCTTGTGTTAAAATGTCAGAAACTTTCTCATTGTGTTCATACTGATCTTTATTACCTGAATTTTTCCAGGTAACACCCTGATCACTTTTCAACTTCTTAACTTCAGTCGACACAGAAGACGTGGCTCCATGTAATTCTTGTTTAAACTGCTCTAATTGACCTGCCATGGTTCGTTCCATATCAGCTTTCTGTTCGTTCATCTTATTTAAGATAACCTGAAGCATTTGGTCTGATTGAGCCCCGCCCGTAAAGTCTTGGTCACTCTGCATGATTTAAACCGTGTTCTCAGCTCTACGTGTCGTCCTAAACTGGCTTTAACTCACTATATCTTGAAAAACCGGTTCTATAGAACCGCATGACTGAACATACCTGAACAGGTATTCGAATTGAAAACTTTAAATATCCGGAATAATCCACTCATTATTATTACCAAGTAGAAATTGATTTCTGTCTAATTCGTTCCTCAAACGAAAGAAATCACATTTACTACGTTCTCTCATTATAAACCTTCCTTAATAAAAAAAAAAATCAGCTGCACTGCATCTATAGTTTCGATTTCTGGTATTTATAATAATTCTTGTCCTTGACACTGTGCATTTCGTTCACACCATTAGCTTTTAAAAACAATAAATGACCAACGTGTATTTTTTCTCATGTTGTGATTTTGACTCTCTATCAACGCTTGAATTTCCTCTTCTTCATCTTCAAAGTTTGTTTCCACATTCCCCGACATTCTGTCATGTTGTAAATTTTGAATTTACCAGGTGGCAGTAAATACAAAATTTTGTCATGTCGTATATTTTGTATTTATTGCCACCCCGGTACATTCAAAATTTACAACATGACAATTCTCCGTCTCAAGTTTAATTTCTCCAAAATGATAGTTCATTTTAATTTCTTCGCGGATCTGAGATGAAATTAAGTCCTCGTCACTCTATAAAAAAACAAGACCTTAATCTCGTAAATCGTCCGTGTTCACAGTTGAAAAGCTGGAACCCGAGATCCCTTCCGTTGAAACACACGCAAAAAGTGCGCATTAGAAAAATACTGTCGGGAAGGGGATAATATATGAACGTAGTCACCGGACAAAAACTAGATTTTATTTGTCTTATTAAAATCACGCACCGAACACCGGTCACAATTAAATTAATAATTGATTTTTTGTTTGCCATGATACAAGAAAAGTTATTGATCCTGATTTATTTAGACAAAGGGGCGTTGACTCGAGCTTCGCACTCGTCACCATCCTTCGTCCAAATAAATTAGGATACACCGTATTACAAATCATAATGTATGCCGATTTTTAAAATTGCTCACCAAACGTAAAATCTTGATAGAAAAATCATACCATTTTATGGTAGTAGATGTGATTGCTTTGTCCCCTTGACCTTAAAGGCTATTGTCCCCAGCTAAAACGGGGAGGGGGGGTGTAATCACTCTCGAGAATTAAGGTATTCAATGTATAACGACCATATTTTGTACCAAATAAAGGAATGATCCGATATATTTAATAACGGAAGCATTTTGAAGATATTATCATATAAAAATGCTCCACCAGAGGAATTTACAAAATTTTGATTATTGTCCAATTAATTACACCTTGAATTTTACATTGAAGTCTATGGGCAGCGCATGTTTTTATCAAATATTGTGAAAAGTAATTTGAATTTCAAACAAATCTCTTGGTGAAAATATGCATAGACTTCCTCTTTATTTAACTATGAAATAAAATAAATTAAATTCATTAAATGAAATATTGAGAAATCAAAAATTGTCTTCTTTTCATCAAGGGCAGATAACTCTTCAAAAACTTTAAATGTGACTGTCTCCTTACATGTTATCAGTCTTGTGAATTTGGTTTATTTCACATCTATCGTTATTTAGCAATGCATTTTTAACTAGTTTAAAATTATTAAAATCGCTCAAAATCCCTTCATTATACATTGAATACCTTAAGCCTTTGAACTTTTGGAATAACATTTTATATAAACTCTCTATGTTGTAAGAAAGACCCTAAAGTCAAAGGTGAAGGTCGTATTTTCATGCATTGTTTGTGAGTATAAATCTATCATAGGGCGGTATCTCTTTTGTGTTTTGCTAATAAAATTTTTACCAAACTACCGCGGGGCCCGCCAGCCTTTCTTAAAGTGCCCCTTTCGACCTTCCTCCCATCCCAAATCTAAGTACGGCATGCTACTTGCTGACAAGTGGATGTTACAGGGATATCATCCACAAAGTTCACAGTTTGCATTTCGTAAATTTAATGGTCGTTACAATGTCTTGTTTGCAAATGTGCCTATCATTGAATCGCATTTTGGATGACTTGTTTTTTACTGAATTTTCTAAGGAAAGTTCCGTCTTCCTGATCAATACAAAGGATCACGGCGGATGTGAGCGGTCAACAGAGGATGCTTACTCCTCCTAGGCACCTGATCCTACATCTGAATTTTCCTGGGGTCCGTGTTTTATGCCCTTTTTAAGGATATGTGTGTTATTTATAGATCATTTGAGATCGAGCACTGTTCGTTATCTACACTCTTTACATGGAGACGCCACCATGTGTCGGTGTTACCTGACACATGGGACTTTTTGTAGTAAGGGATCTTTCTCGAGCCAACACCAAGTGCAACACGGTACCTCGGTTTATACGGTCTCACCCGAAGGACCGGTTTCCACGTCCCACATTGGACTCGAATCCGCGACGTAAGGGTCAACATTATCTCCTCACTTCGCCACTCGAGCAGGCTTTCTATTCACTGCGCCCTGCGGCATTTAGGCTACTTCAATGAGAAGATGAGAAAGTCCCTCTCGAGAATTTTTGACTCATATGGAGACGCCAGCACTTGCCGATCGAGAGCTGCAAATTTTGTCATCTTCTTGGCACTCAAAGCCATTGAGCAGGTAGGGATCTTTTTCGTGCCAGCACCTACTGCGACACGGGACCTCGGTTTATAAGGTCTCATCCGAAGTTCGGGGCTCCACGTCCCACAGTGGGATTCGGACCCGCGACGTAAGGATCAACTCCTTACTTCGTGACACTATTGAAATTGAAAATCAACACAAGATTCATTTGTGTACAATGCGCAATAGGTGGTTTTTCGTTCTTATCAGTGGAATTTTTCGTCATAAGAGTAAAGGTATACCTTAAGTCCTAGATATTATTTGTGACCTAAGGATATTTCTAGCAGTGTACACACCTACTGATATAGTTAGGACATGGGTGAATACACCTTAAAGGTTTATAAGTTATATAATTATCTTATTGAATATGTACATTTAAGTGAAATAGACGTATAATATAGCACTAACTGTAAATGTGCTTAAAATATACAAAGAAAAATTAAGAAAATATGCATAAAATATATAGAAATAACGAACAGTTTTCAGGCAAAAAAAACATTTGACATTACAAATTTTGGAGCAGAGCAGACACGGGCCTCCAAACATTTACAGGTTGGATGAGGTGACATGGAGGGGTGAACGTCCCCTGAGGACCGGTCACATCCGCCGTGTGCTCATTTTCATGATCGTGAATAAACGGAAAATTCTGTGGAGATAATTCAGTAAGTAAACTAGAGTACTGTGAGCAATGAGCTCACTAAATGATAACCCCGCCTCCCATATGAATATAATGGGAGTGTCCATGTTTTGTTGTGGGAAACCCAAAATATGTGTCAGATCAAAATGAAAAATAGGAGGTGAACAATGGCAATATGTAATAAAGATTCTGCGAAAGTTTCATTAAATCTCATTCAGTGGAATAAGAGGAGTTGCGGATAAGAGATGGGTGCCACAAAGAGTAACAGACAGACAGACATACCGATTACTATATACCGTCCTGCTTTTCAAGCGGGGGTATAATAATGACCCATCAATTAGTATGAAAATCGTCTATCAGCATTCGACTTATTGTATTTGTTTACAAGGTATATTCCAGTTGTAACCAGTGGCGAATTTAAGGGGGGGCGCACCCGGCGCGCGCCCCCCCTAAAATTGTCAAAGTTAGGGTAAATCAAATATGTCTACTTGTTAGACCTCATTTTTACCCTACAAAATCCCTAGAATCCAGGAGCTTACGGGGGCTTCGCCCCCTGGGCCCCCACCAGGGCTTTGCCCTGGACCCACTGGGGACCTTAAGGCGGCCCCAGTCCCCTTGCCTAATTTTGGCGCCCCCTCTAACTCCAAATCCTGGATCTTTACAGAATGATACTTACATTATCTCTGTAGCACTTGGACACATATATATCCTTGTCGATCACCTAGTTTTTGCCGGGGACAATCTCAGAGTAGGAAATCACACCGATGTTAGCATGATTTGATGAAATACTCCTCGACCGCGTGGCGCAATTGTTAGAGCATTTCCTCTAGAGTGGAGGGGTAACGAGTTTAATGCATAAACATGACATCGAGGATAGCATACACATTATTTAGGCCTTTGTCTCTGGTACAGGTGGTTCACGTAGAGCTAGCACAGTAACCTGTATACGTCAAGCTCACAACAAATTTGATCTTGGCAGAAACTTAGTTCTATTTTCTCTTTTCAAGTAAGATCTACTAGTATATGCCATTTCCAGTCTCTTTCCTTTAATCCTTGCTTATATAACGTACTTAACTTGACAACTGAAAGTACGTAGGCCTATTATCTGCAAGCTGGAGAAAGGCTAAATAATTGATAATAGATATGGAAATGGGAGTGTTACTCATAAAACACGTCCAGGTATTATTGGGGCATCTTTAAAATTAGCATGACCCTTGGATCACTCTCATCTTGAACTCAAGATGCGCGTGACCGCATTTTGAAAGAAAATCTAAAGCGATTCAAAGCGCAAATTGAAAAGAAATAAAATATACTTCCTTATGTTGCAGTTATGAATCTTACTGCGCGAAGTGGACACCGGTTTTTCAGGTGAGATCGTATTAACCGGAGTCCTGGCTCGCAGCTTGTGCTGGCACGAAAAAGTTCCCTCACTACTCAGTGGCCCAGAATGTCTTCAATTATGTAGTTGTTACCGTTTAAACTTGCAGCCATACACCTGCAACTGGTTCCGTCTCAAAATGAGAGAAAGAGTTTTGTATTTATTACTGAGAATGCATGATGTCACTAACGTTACCAACTTCACGTCAAGTGAAATTATTGTGTCCATACTTAAATTCTTTACCGTACCTATTTTTTAATGAAAAAATACATATAGGGCAAACATGAGTAGAGCAGATAGAAATTACTGATATGGACATAAAGTATACATCTGGGCGTTTATTCTCACAGTGGAAATTTGATTTATGTTATGCTTCATTCTAGTATTTAAACAGAGCCGACAAGCTAGTGCTTAAAATGTTCCCTCTTTCTCCTGTTGCTGTTGGTTCTTTTTTAGAGTGAATTCTTTATTTCGTGTGTCAATGCCATCAAAACGTGAAACCAAATCTTAAAAGTATAGCGTAAATTGATAAATGGATTCCATTAAGAGGCAGTCCACCGAAAAACCAGGCA